GAGATAATCGCAGATGTTGCCCAAGACGGATACACACCACAAGCTATCGCCTCCGCCGTTGCTATGTCCGTCGGCATCTACTCCATGACGCTAGGCCTGCTCAAGCTAGGATTTCTGCTAGAGTTTATTTCCGTGCCTGTTCTGAGCGGCTTCATCTCCGCAGCTGCCATCGTCATCATGCTCGGCCAAATCCCCTCGCTATTCGGCATCACTGTCGGCTCCGGTACGGCGAACATCATTCACGACCTTTTCGCCAAGATACCACAATACGACGGTCCGACATGCGGAGTGGGTCTTGGGGGCCTTCTACTGCTCTATCTCATGCAGAAGATGGGACAGCGCTGGGGCAAGAAGAACAAGGCCATATGGCTGCTAGCACTTGGGCGTAGTGCTGTAGTCCTCATTCTCTTCGCTGGTATCTCGTACGCAGTGAACAAGGACATCGACCTTGAGAATGACGATCCTGTCTGGGCACTCAGCAAGGTAAAGTCTGATGGGATTGCAACGCCTCGCATGCCAGACTCGGCACTTATCGGCAAGGTATTCGCACGAAGCATTGCGCCCTTCATTGCAGCTGCGCTTGAACATCTAGCTATCGCTAAAGCCTTTGGTCGCAAGAACGGCTACGTTACCGACGCTGCACAAGAGCTAGTCTATCTCGGCTTCACCAACTTCTTCAATTCTTTCTTCTCCTCCATGGCGGTCGGAGGTGCTATGTCGCGGACTGCCGTCAATTCAGAGTCCGGTGTCAAGTCTCCAGCTTATGGTTTGATTGCGGGTGGTGTCGTCATCCTCAGTATCTTCAAGCTTTCGCCAGCACTATACTGGATACCGAAAGCTACATTGGCAGCTATCATTGTTACGGCAGTATGGCACATTGTAGTTCCCCTCAAAGTCTTCTACGGATATTGGCGCACCTCACTCGTCGACTTTACTACCTCCATGCTAGCTTTCTGGCTCACCCTCTTTGTTTCCTCAGAAGTTGGGATCGGCACGGCCGTCGGATTCAACATCGTCTACCACCTCCTCTTCATGGCCTTCCACCGCGTTCACCGCATAACGTCTATCGAAGTGGCTTCTCACGGCCGCCAATCAGGTATGCATCCCACTCCTCTCGATACCCAAGTATTCCGCATCCACCAGTCTATGCTCTTCTACAACGCCTACCACATCAAGACGCAGTGCCTCGACGCGGTCCAGACATTCAACTCCGGTGATGTGGCAACGCTGGAGGCTGCGCACGCAAACCGCAACTGGAGTGTCGCTGGCAAAGATCGCGCGTTGCGTCTCCGTACGAAAGCCGAGATCCTCGAAGAGCCTGTTCAGATTCGCAGTGTCGTGCTGGACATGTATGCCATGCATAATATCGACACAACAGGTCTTACGCATCTGAAAGATCTGAAAGCAGACATCGAGGCGTATGGTGGGAAGAACACGCAGTTCAGACTCGTAGGGCTAAACGACCGTGTTCGCGAGCGCTTCGCGAGGTTCGGGTGGAAGCTCCGCGATGTGTCTGATGTCAATAAGAAAGGCACGATGGTATATGACACAGTCGAGGAAGCTGTCTTCCGCCGCTCAAGGACATTTTCGTCGGATGAGATTGAAGTGGAGCCTACCGAGGTGTTTGTTGTTGGTGATGAGAAGAGTAAGGTTTAGATTACGGGTTCAAAGGTCGCATCATGGGTGTGCTACGCCTGTTGCTTCTCCCACTTCCTCTATCAGAAGTATTGTCACGATGTTATGATGAAACGCTCGTTATTCTTCAACTATACATAGTTTCACCTGTCTATACACGAGTCAGGGTTCTTCTATCCTGCATGCATCCACGATTCACTCTATTCCTTGTGCTTCGTACAGCGACCCGGCGCAATCTTGAATCTCTCTCGCCTCGAGCCCCAATTCTTTTCAACGTATTCTACCTTCGTTTCACTCCACACTCCGCGCCTCCTCATTCGTCTCCGCAAAACTCCCGAACATGCCTCTACAGCACTCTCGGTTCCGCGCTATCTGCTCTTCCTCAGATAACGCAGAATCGATAACAGTACGAATATTAGACTTCAAGTCAACTGGAATGGCGCCACGCCGACCGTACACATAAGTTTCGACCTCCATCTCCCGGTCAAGTTCCTGGAAGTTGTAAAACATCCACTGTAGCGAGCGCTCCGGAAGCGGATTTGCTGGCCTACCATGCACTGGTAGAGTGACAGCAGCCATGGATCTTCTTTCGCCAAAGCTGGCTGGCCACGGATGCGGAGATGACCTTGTGCCGTGGGGCAGTGGCTCTGGCTTAGACAGCGGATTTGCAGACCGTCCGTAGTATGGCCTTGCGGTATTCATTCTTAACAATTTATTGAATCGTTCTTGAGCGTTGGGAGGCGAGTTGCGCCAATTTTCACTTGATCCAATAGTTCGCAGGGCTGGTCTCTTTGTATCGAGAGAGCTATGTTGGGATCTTGTAGCGGTCGAGGGGCTATCGTTCGGCGGTGAGGACGTGCTGATGGGAGGCTTTGAGGTTGCAGTAACAGGACCGGTCGTCGCGTTGTTAATGTGCGGCGGCTGTGACAAAGCTAATGCAGGCGGACTGTCGGGTTCTTCTTGTGGACAAGTCAGGGTGATCTCTGGAAACTGGCGCACTTTCCGAGGGAGCGTGACACTTTCTTGTTCTGCAACAGGCTTCAATAGATCTAACAGCTTCCTTTGGAAGGCGTCGAGCTCGTCCTTGTTCCTGGGTGTTGAACACTGCTGAGGTGCTTTGAGGAGCGCGTCTGATTTCGCCGCGGAAGTCATCGGGGCGAGAGCTACTGGCTGATTGCTCAACAATCGAAGCTGCGATTTCGCTTCTTCTTTGTGGCTAGGGACTAGGAACTTTTCCGCAAACGCACCTATAGCTGGTAGTTTCTTCTTGGTAGGAGAGGTAACGTTGAGTGGCTTAGGTACAAGCTTGGGTAGCAATCGCGTCTGCGCTTTGTACGAAAGTTGTTTCCAGAATGTCTTCGAATCGAAGAGAGGCAGTACCTCCGTTCGCACTTCCTCAGGTTTGTAGTCCGTGCGCATTTTCGCGGAGCGAGGGAGCTTCATTACGGAGTAGCTGGACCTTCTGAACCGATCAAAGGGGATGTTTTCGGCCACGACAGCTTTCTCCACCCTCGTCACCTCGATCTCCGACTCACTATGGGCCTCTCGCGCAGGAAGAATCATCTGCGCAGTCCGCAAGGGCGAGCTCTTTGTCCGATACATCCCATCCTCGCGCGCTAGTCCCGACTTCTTCTTGGTCTTCACGCTGTCCCTGTGTTTGCGCAGACCCCAATCTTTTCTTTCTCCTATACTCTTCCAGAAGAGTCTCTGTGCTCCTTCGGTACGACCGGCCCGCCGAGAAATTAAGGCTGTCCAGTCGGCCTGTGCCTCTGGGCAAGTATGGCAGTCGTTCTGACAAGCGTGTAGATGCCAGATTATGGTATGAATTGCCCAGCCACTGCTTTCGCTTGAGAGGACGTCATCGCTTGGCTCGGGAATCTCTTTAAAGGAGACGTCGCAGACAGGGCAGCAAGCTGGGTTAAGTGTTGTAAGACAGATCAAGCGGTGGTCAAAGGCGTCGAGATCTTTCATACCCCACAGGTCTTTGTGGCAAAGAAGACAGGATGTTTTCTCCAGGTCTGATGAGAATGATGGTATCGGTGTGGATGGTTCCTCTCTTTCATCTAGTTCGCTGTTCTCGACTTGCAGCGTCCCCAGCGAGGTCTTGTCGCTGTCTCCAACCTCCCTTTCCTCCAGCGGATTCTTCTCAATCTGAATCTTCGATTCCTTCGCCTTCTCTCTCAGACCATCCCAACATTTGTTGAAATGGACGTTGGCCTTGGCTTTGTGCTTTAGCTCTACTCGTTGATAGCAGATGCCACACGTGGACTTATCGGCCTTTACGATCTTCTTTGGCACAGGTGGTGGTTGACGCCTGGGTAGAGATGGTGAATCTTTGACTTGGGCGGCTGGAATTTCAGGAGATGGAGGCGCAGTGGGGGTTTCTATGTCGGGCATCGCATAAGTGTTCATCTGGTCAGCTTTGATCTGAACAGTTCTAAGGCGATCTAATGTGAGAATGGGCGCTTATAAGTCCGTGGAATTGAAGTTGTGTTCCTGTGGCTGTGAAATAGGTCGAGCGGGTGTGATTTGTCCGTCTATGAGAAAGCCGTGAGTACGAGAAGCTTAGCCTAGTAGATTTAGGTTACACTAAGTGTTTGTGCGTTCGGAAGCCAATGCTTTTCCACACATTCACCAAGCCAATTCAGATTTCACGTTACAGACTGCGAAGCCACGAAGACTCTTGCTTCACCCATCCTGATTGAGAGAGAATTGGCGTATTCCATGAGGTACACTATGTAGATTGGGTGGTGTCTCTCCATTCCCGTCATGAACTTTAGCTTTTTGACAACTCGTTATATACCTGTAATACGGCTGCGAACTTTTTCGACACATTTTGGTGGCTCTATCCTGTTTGAGGAAAGAAGTACATACCAGCCCTGTGCGGAGAACGACATGGAAATCAAGGATCTAGAAGTCTACACCACGCTTAAATGTTGGTATCTCTCATTTTTTGTTCTGTCGTAGACTTCAGTGCATCTTTTCAATTTCCTCATTGTAGTGTGTGGCAGCAACGTCTTGTGCAGCCGGTCAAATGTGAGCCATGAAAGCTTAGTACTTTCTTATGGCGAGGCTACGACATTGAACTCATCTTTACCGCAAAAGCCATTCATACCAGGGTCATTGAGAGTCGGACGTGATAGCAGATCTTCGAGGTCACCACATGAGATGTGCCGATACAATGTTGAGAATATCGGAGAGTATCGCACGGTCGTCACCAGTATCATTCCAAGCTGAGTGAAAACCCATTGTTCATGCATACCGCATTCTAGCAAACCCCCATGGGCCTATTCAAGCTATATCATGATTACATAGAAGCTCTCTTGACCATCACGCATCTACGCAACCGGTTAACATTGTCTACCATGATCCATCGAAACATGAAAGCCCACGACTACATTGTCATTGTGAAAGATATCGAAAAAGGCTACGCTACCTTCAGCCAGTGGGACCAACTCAGCACAAACATGGTCTTTGCGCTTCCATGGCGACTTCTGCAGCAATGTCCAGATGGACTGATACTAGACAAGCCCGAAACGGTAGAGAAGTTGGCCGAAAAAGAAGGGGCCTTGTCGGACTGGGACGACGACAACCGCGGCGTCCGGTGGGACGAAAATTCAGGCTGGACGTTTAAGTCTCTAGAGAAGCCAGACGCACCTAGTACCGAAGAAGACACATCTGAAGACTTTACTCCGCAACCGAGCCTCGCAGATTCTGTCGAAGAGGAAGTCCTGGTATACATAGCGACACTACACACTTGCCGGAAGCCTTACCCGCATGTATGCCCATTGGTGCTCAGGAAGGTCCCAAGGTGCCTGAGCTGCAAACGGAACACCCGTGATCGTATCGACGCTTTTCGGAGTCTTAGAGAGTTTACCAGATCACGATTTGGAAATGGTACATCAACTTTAAGAAAGGAGCTTTTGGTGGGCCACGTTGAAGACACCGCAGCCAGGACTAGCGAATTCATTAAACTGGACTCGTTCCGGCTAGCGCATCTTTGGGATGAGCGATTTGACTCAAGGGCTGGAAAGTACGATATGACGGGCATCAAACTGCTTGAGGAAGAGCCTGGCCAGATAGTTGTTCGTGGTCCTCGAAGCATAGCACAAGAAGAGTACTGATTCTAGTATGGAAGCTTTTCAACCATTAGACGTGTTAATAGGATTGTACTTGTGCTTCTCGCGTTCTGCTGCATACACACTATTAGATATTAACAAGTATACAGTCCAAAAGATGATGTTTACTTCTGAAAAGAAGATGAAATAATGGAACACTTTTGTAGAATGCAATACGAGTTGCAGCCGCCCTTGGTAAGGTCTTCTTGGCTCGCACTAGATCGACATGTCGCAGTTTCGCTGCTGCGCTGATAGCTGCTCTTGTGCTCCGAGGCAAGCGCGCCGGCTTGTGAGATCCCGATGTTGCAGCTAGCGCGGTTCACGGTAACGGTTGTGCGCCGCAACATTGTGATGTGGGAGCCCAGCTTTCTAGCCAACGAAGGTATCCCTTGCGCGAAACAACGATAAAGTAGAACGGAGCAGACGTCAAAGTGCATCTTCATCTGTGCGGAGGTATGAGAGCGCCAAGCTCAACAAAAGCAATAAACTGCATGATGCAGGATGGAAACACAAGACGAAAGGTGGTGTTGCGGATAGGCAAAGCCGACGGCATCATAGCGTTAGGGGCGCAGGATACGTCATCAATCTCACGCTAGTACACGAAGGGTTTAGCAGATTTCGACGCGATCGGTGTGGGTACAGCGCGGCAAGTTGGAATCCGAGCATGTGTCTGCGTTTGAAGAAATTGTATTGCATTATGCGTATGCATGGGGTATCAGTAAATTTTGGTTGATGGCGTGTATCAAAGCCGACTTTTAAGGGATCTTTATGATCCACTTCCTTAGAACATCTGCCTGTTCTTCATCTCCACAGGCAAGAAGCACATCAATAGTGCAGATAGCCAAATACCACCAGCACCTAGCCAAAGGATGCCAGAGCTCTGATCGGCCAGAAGCTGAGCACCCGCAAAGGGTGCGACTATTCCTGCAATACGACCGAGACAAGAAAGCATGCCACTCACACTACCACGGTAGACAGTGTCAAAGAGCTCCGGAGCAGACGCGTACAAGACCGCATTAAAGTACTGAACAAAGATCAGTATCGTAAACGTTAAGTTCGGATTTTCTCACTTACGGTTTGCATAATGTATTCCAATGCGTTCAGACCCACATAAGCAGCGGTCGAAGACACCTGGGTATACATTGCCATGGAGATACCCTGGCAAAGGGCGGAAAAGACCAGTGACCACTTTCGACCCACAAGAGGCAGCTGAATGGACGCAAGAGCCAATATGGCACCTATGATACCCGGGAAATAGATAATCAAGTACTGCTCATAGGTGTCGCTCACAGTTCCTCGGCCTTCATCGACGTTGTTGCGCAGCAGGATAAGCGGAAGGAAGGTACCCGCCAGGTTAAAGGACCAGTAGTCTCCCTGTTTTCGTTAGTAGGGAACATAGTGATGGAAAGTCAAGCTGCTTACCATGTATGCCAGCGCAAGCAGGACGAAAGTGAAAGCGGTCAGCTTGTTGGTGAAAATGCCCTTGAGGCGCGTAAGCTCCTTGCCGAACCCTTTGATGACTTTCTTGGTGGTATCCTTGGTACTTCGAGGGGAGTTTCGTGCGCTCGATGTGGTATTCCGCTTTTTGGTGAAGATTCCCTTGAGGCGCTGAAGCCCATTGCCTTTCTCGGGGGTAGCCTGGGTAGCCTGAGTAGTTCGAGGTACTTCAGTGGAAAGTCGTGCGCTTGACGTGGCATTGGACGATACCTCATCTATGGCGGCAAACATCTCCATAGTCAACGTTGGGGGTGGCTGCTTGTTGAATTTCGCAATCCTGTGAAGGACGTCAAGGGCCTCCTGCTCCTTTCCTCGCGCAAGCAGGAACTTCGGGGACTCATGGAAAGTGAAGACAAAGTACCGAAGGAAAAAGACGGCCAAGGTCATACAGCCAAGCACTATGACAGTGTAACGCCATCCCATGTTACTGTCAACGGTACAGCAAGCAACTCCAGGCTCGACGTCTGGACAAGCCGGCGCTTCGGGATCGCAGCGCCATTTAGCTTGGCCGGTGGTGCCGTAGGCAATGCAAGAGGCAATGGCGACACCGATGGGCTGCCACATGGAAAGAAGCGCGACAAGGAAGCGGCGGTTATGAGGTAGAAATTCGAGTGCAATGGTTGCATCGATAGGAATGTTACCTCCGAGGCCTAATGACGCGAGGAAGTAGATGGCGCATATCGCAGGGTAGTTGTACTTGGGTGCGGCCTGGCTTATTGTTAATTACCGGTAATCGAATCTGCGGCTTCATGAACATACCAGCAAGAGTCCGAATACGGAGGTAATGAGACAGGTCAAGTTGAAAGCCCACTTGCGTCCGATGATATCCACAGCAAGACCAAAGCCGAGCGCACCGACAGCAAGTCCTGCGTTAGCGATCGCAAATATATCTCCAGTGTGTTCGTCCGAAACTCCCATCTGCAAACGCTTTAGTACAGGGTACCCGCTGTGTCTGGACTAACTCACCTCTTGGTAGATGGCAGAAGCAATTAAACCAACACCTTGTGACCAGGCGAGATCAAGGAAGTATCCAAAGCCACAGAGGAACCAGATGCATATCTGGTATCTGCCCATTCCAAATTTATCGAGCTCGACATTGATGAGGGCGGCCTTCTTCTCAAAGGTGTTGAGCGGGTTTGCGGCTGTGCCTTTAAGAATTGCAGCGAAAGACAAGTCGGTTTGGTCGACGCGTTCTACGTCGTTATAGATGGGGATTTCGACTTTAGCGCGCGCATCTTCGGGGTGCTCGACGGGTATCTTCTCCTCGTCGCTGAGGTGCGCAGGGCTGCGCTCCGGCTGCTTGACCTCCATCTTGACGGCGGCAGGGCAAGCTACTGTCAAGGGCAGGGTATTGTCAGGTGACTGCGCGTAGACTGGGTGAGAGTGAGTCGCCGCGTGGTAATGGCAGTTTACAGGGTCGGTACCGTGGGACAAGGTATGTTATACGTACGCGGGGAACGAGTAGCTCTTTCACGCTACCGTCAACTACTGGCGAAACGGATCTAAGCGATGAAGGCGCTACGATCTAAGTGCTGATCCAAGCCTCGTCCGTTCAACGGCCCTCATGTCCAAGACGGCAGAGGTTTAGCTGATCCGATCTCATTGGGTGCCACCGACTGATGACGGCATAGCCAGTAGCCCTGTCGCGCGACTTTGCCTGACCCTGTTCTTGCATGGTTTTGTTCCTTCGGCATGGCCGTGTAGCGATAAATCTTGAACAGCGACTAACAAGATGCACTAACAGCTCAGCTGATTAGAGTCTGATAGGTTCGCCGTTCCGTCGCGATGCGATTGTAGAACATAAGCGGCGGCAAATGCACCCGTGGACGGATACCAACAGAGATGCACTACGCAGTGCCTAGACCAGTGGCTCCGCTTGAGGCTGAGGGTTACGCAGGAGGAGCAGCTGCACCGTCATTTTCTGGCACGCTTGCTGCAAACTCCTCTCCACTCTCCAATATCACCGCGGAGCTCCACTACCAATCTCAATCTCGCCATCCACAAGACTGGCGCTGGTACCGAGATCTCTTTTTGCCATGACCCGCCCTCCCCAGTTTTTCGAGATCCTAGGTTCGTTATCGGCGACTGCCCTTTCCATATGTAGTTTAGTGTAGAGCCCGATAACGCCACACGAAACATTGAAGTGATCGCATGGCCCGCCTCGGTTACCTGCACACATCCTCACGTCACGATTGATGACTTTTCTCATTGTATCCACCACTATCTAGGTAGCTTGAGTGCGACTGACACGAAATGACTCCCCTAAAGACTCGTATGGAGGTCATTGTTAGCTCTCCGGCTAAGCGTTGTCTCATCACCGAGCGCGCCAGGACGCACTCGGCTCACATCTGCCGTTCAAACGCCCAGCAGAGGTCGTTGTCAATGTCACAGTTCGCCATTACCCAAGCAGCCTTCGGGATTGAAGAGCTAATCAAACGGTATCTATACGAAAGCTGAGAATTCATACCTTCTGGAGAAATTTGCGACCGCTGCTGTACGCTTCAAGGATAGGTTATACGTGTTTGACTAACGCTTTCCATGTTGCTTCCATGGATACCGCAGATTTCCTATGAGCGTTTTCTGATTCCATTCCCCGATCAACGCTTGTTATTCACGGTCATTCTTTGGACACATCTACATGTTACCAACGTGCAGCTGACAGTCTAGACGTTGAATGTCCTCAGGCTTACCGGTCTATGTAAGCACCCTTGCTCCGCGAAATACTGAGCTCTCTAGAACACAACGCACACATACAACCAATACCTGAATACGCCACACCTTCTACAATCTTCAGTAAACACCAGCAACATACCTACCTACATAGACACAACGACCCATTAACTTAAACTAAATCGTTGAACCATGAACCACTCTTCCTCTATCAACTCAGAAACCACCCACCTCGAGGGACAAGACCCACAGAAATGGATCACATACTGTGACGTACATCGCCTTCCCTTGCTAGCCGATGAAACAAGGCCAATCTCCATCGGAGAGAACGTTCTATCCAAGGCCTCAGGCAGGTTTCTATGGGCAGACTTGATGTTCGAGATCGTCAAACGGCAACCCACTACATCTAATATCACTGCTTGCCTGGAGACTGCGCCGGATGATGCTATGGAACTGGTCCCATTGTTGTTGCAGGTCTACAGCAATGTACTTACACGAGAAGAGCGTGAAGAGCTGTCTTGGATCATATTACTCCTAACACACAACCGACACACTGGCCACACCTGCACCCTTGCAAGTCTCGATCGCATGTTGTTCGAGACCTCGCTGACTGGCCGCACGGGCACCTCTCTCGGTGAAAGAATACGCGACAACTTCACTCCTCTGTTTGATCTCGAACAAGAGGATGGGATCACTCTCAGTCATCTCAAGATCCACGATCCTGCACGCGCTTTTGGGCTTACGTGCACACCTTCCACGACGACTGTTACTTTTGCGCACCCATCGCTCACTGAGTATTTTCTTCAACACCGCGACAAATCTCTCAACGGGAGGGTGAAAGATGCCCCTGTTTTCAACAGCGCTGAGCTACATTTTCGCCTACTACAGCAATGCTTTCTTAGTTTCGCTGAGCCTCAAAGCGAACCTTTGACCGAAGCGGCCAAAGCGGCCGAAGTGTTTCGGAAGTACGCCGCTACTCACTGGTACACCCACCTCGCAGGCACTTTACCGAGTGACAATGTCGAAGCCCTGAATCTTTCGGAAGACGACCGTGAAGAGATGTTAGGGCCTCTTGAACATTTCTTCAAAGATGAGAATATCGTGCAGCACTGGTGTCAGCACCTACCAGCAACATTCTTCAGCAGAGCCAGATCCGAAGATGTGGGCGAGTTGAAAAGTCTTTGCTATTACCACTCAGACCCAGAAGCGTTCGAGTTTATCAAACTTAGCGCCTTCATGAGCTCCAAGAAGTGGCAGGACTTCTGGCTACCAGTAGCAAAGGTGCACGCCAAGAAAGGACTACATGGCGACTGGGATCGAAACCACTCACTCCAGGTAATCTTCCACATCAAGCACCTCGTCGATACAGAAGATGCGGTCGCAGATATCCGAGGAGAGTTGTCCCAGCAAGAGATGACTGAGGCTGCGGAATGGACCGAGTTGGAGTCGAAGACAGATCCGCCTGAATTCACCTTGAAAGAAGAGAGCTCAGGGTTTGAAGAGGAGGAGACATCGTCTTCTGTGGCGACTCAGAGTATCATTGAGGCATGATTGTGTTTGAGTCGGATGTGCTAGGAGGTTTGAAGGTAGATGTGAGCAGGTCGAAAACAGTGTTATGATGCAGCCAGTAGTACTTCAAGATACTTAAATCTATTCTGTAAACGCATTGACCACACTGACAGCTATCCGCCTATCGTAAGATAACCCGAAAACGTGTTGCATAATCGCTGTATTGATTCATGCTACACGCCATGCAAGATGAAGAAAGACATATGGCCTCGCCGAATAACTCCGACCCATGCTATATATCCAATCACCTTTCTCGTATCCTGCCCATCCCGTCCACCTTCTCAGTCTTCTCATTCAACCGTCTCCACCACGTCGTTTGACTTTAGAGGAGCCATCACGATAGGTCTCTGGTCGGTCTGCACAGCAAATCCCGACGCACCTGTCGATCCACCCGCAAGCGCCTGCCTCAGCTGGTTTAAGATGGTAAACTCCGTGCGCAGCTTGACGGCATATACAGCGACCTTATAGAAGCCCTGCATGAAGAAGCGACCGCTATAGGCCAAGCCCAGGACGCTGGCATCGAGCATGATTATGAGGACGTTGACAGCGATGAGATTGCGGAGGTTGTCTCGAGTGGTGCGACGACTATTGCCGAGGAGCTCGAGGCTCTGGAAGTACTTCGATGTTTGCCAGATGTATAGCATTCCGATAATGCATTCTTGGGTGAAGAAAGCGCCGACTTGCACTTTGTCCCAGATCAGGTTGGCCTTCTCGAGTCGTGCGCTGAAGCGTGGGTGGCGCTACGATCAATTAGTATGGTACGGCTGCTTGCAACGAGAGACGTGCAGCAATCATCCCGAACAAGACTGTGGTAAGGCCAAAGATGACCGAGTTAGTAGTAATCATGTAGAGAATATAGCGGTCTTTCTTCGTGTTTCTCCACACGAGGCCGAGGCGTGAGTAGAGGACAAAAGACTGGGCGACGACGAAGACGAGCCATGATAGGTAGATGAAGACGATGGCCGAGTAAGACGTCCACTTGTTGAAGTTGGCCAAGATAATGGAGATGCCGTGGACTATCAGCCCCCAACTGCAGAGTAAACAGCTCCAGAAGTAAAGGCTGCGACGTGTGGCCCTGTAGAGCAGGCGGATGTTAAGCTCGATGCATATAAACCAGGCAACTCCTAGGAACGCTGCAGCGGCCATGGAAGATGGTCGGTCGGCCAATTCGGGTGCCTTGGGGTTGCTGGAGTCTGTTTCTGAGGTCATGGTGACTAGTGTGAGAGAGGTGCTCGTTGGGCGGGTGTTGTTTAGTGTCGCGAGTTGAAAACTCTGAAGGCTGCAAAGCGATGAGGTACGTTAGAAAGCTTTATTGATGTGGGATGATTCGGTGATCGAAAGCGTTCTCGCGTGGGCGTGCCTTCCTCAGTCACCCTCACGGTGACTGCCGTTTTAGACTCGGTACCGAGAAACCGCCCAGGGCACGCGAGCACATGTTGAGTGCCAAGACAATATCCTCGAATGCGACTGCTCTCCTAGAGGCAAGTCACCATGCCTTCCATAATAGATATCAGACCGGCAAACAAATCGGTGAGGGTTATGAGGCAAGCTCGTACCAAGAAAAATATTGAGCCTTTTGAGCTTTTTCCTAGTATGAAGTGAGGCAAGAACGTGAACAAAATGATAACTTTTAAGATCTGGCAAGCTGCATGACGCAACAGATGACGAACCTGACACCTAGCATGCTGTCAAGACCACGTACTTTCGTCCTGCACACCCCCAATCTCACTTTCTTGAAGAAGTGTTGACCTCAGCGACGTTCTCTTGCCTGCTCAAGATCTTCTTAGGGCCCCAAGTACCAGCTCTACCACCGGGATCAACACGACCCTTCTTGGGACTCATCCTCTCACCACCTCCGGCGCCTCCATTGAGCTCTTTGATGTTCTTGGGTGCGGCAGCCATCTTGATGGTCGATACGGTGTTCAACGGTGTTGCTGGAGCGTTTGTAGGGCCACTGCCACCGCCATTCCTCTTGCCCTTTGGCTTTTTTCCGACTGACGTCTCGATCCAGGCGCCTCCCTCTTTCTTGGCCTTGCGCTCAGCTTCTTCCTTCTCGCGCTTCGCACGTTGTTCCGCTTCTCGCTCCCGTGCGGCCTTGTCGCGGGCCTCACGTCGGACGCGCTCCTCCTTGGCCCTCAGCTCCGCTGCCTGCTTCTCCCTCACTGCGCGCTCGCGAGCTTCGTAGGCCTTGGCGAACTCGTGTTGCTCGAACCGGACTTGGGCTTCAGTCTCAGCGCGGGCCTCGAGCTTGATACAAGGGTAACATGGGAAGTGCGATGAGCGAGGCTTGTCGTCGTCGCTGATGTCGGGGCACACGTTGTTGGAGAGAAAGCCTGGACGGCACATCTCGATGTACGGGCGATCAGAGAGGTGGCCACATGTGTGCAGCTTCTTCCAGTAGAGACACATCTTAAAGCCTAAAATGTCAGCAACTCGCGTGGACACGATTACCAGCTAGTACTTACGTTGTTAGAGTGAAGCTTCAGATTGGAAAGCAAAGGTCGCGATGATTCAGGATTGCGTGTAGAAGAAGCAGGGAAGAGTGGAAGGACTGCTTTCTAGGCTTGAAAGAGGATGGAAGGTGTATGGAGGTGAGAAAATATCGAGGAGTGGCTCTTACCTAGGTACTTCGCACATGGCTTATCGTTCGCAAAGCGGCAGGAGCATCTAAGGTGAGAGAAATAGCACTATGCGAGGAAGGGGCGGCCCTCTTTCAGCGGGTAGGCAACGACAGATTGCAACGATTAAACGGAAACTGGATCAGGAAAGACGTACGACTGAGACCAACGGTACAAGATATTGAAACTATAAAGGGTATATCCATCGCAATACACAGACCATCAAGATCTGATGTCCATCCATATAAATATCCTGGGTATCCTATCTTCCTAAAAACATGCACTAGGTAGCATGTCGGGCCCAAGAGACACCGCAAGAAATGCCTGCAAGTATACTAAGAGCAGGAGAAAACAGCGCAGAGTTGTCTACGCCCTCATCTTCCGTCGCATCTCCGGACGGGCGCCGCGATGCTCAACCTCGGTGATGCGGCTGCCGCCAATCTCCTTGACCTTCGCTACGAGGGTGTCGGTCTGATCGAGCTCCTCAACGTCATCGCCGCCTCCTATGCTCTTGCCCATGAGCAGGATGTTAGGCACCGTTCGTCGGCCTGTCGACTTGTGCAGGAAGGCTTGTAGTTGTTGGCCGATTGGGCTCTTATCGAGTTCGACGACGTAGGGTTCGGGCTTGATGTTGTACTTCTCGAGCAGAATGTGTTTCGCTTTCTTCGAGAAGGGGCAGTAGGATTTTGAGAAGATGATCACTACGATAAGTTAGTGACTGCGCAGGGCTCGATTGAGCGAGGAGTAACGTACTTGGACTCTTCTTCAATATGGCATTGAGCTCCATCTCGACTTCGTGGTCCTCAAGCGTCTCGTGCTCCATCATGGCTGCTTGATCGCGCGGCTTCCCACCCTGTTGCGCGACGCCAGGGACCCTGTCGCCGTCCATCTTGACGCGGCCGGCGACACTCTTCTGGTCCTGCCCTTCCACCTTGACTTTGTGGTCTGTGTACTTGTCCTCGGCGTTCTTCTTCGCCTGCTCTTCGGCGGCTTTGAGTCGCGACCCGACGCTCTCTGCATCGCGCTGCTTCGCCGCTTCTGCGTATTCCTTTTCTTGTAAGGCTTGTTGGGTTTTGGTGTAAAAGTCGGATGTTTGTGTTTGGTGGGCTCCTCTTGACATGTAGAACAAGACGACGACTGTGACGACAATGAGGATGCCAAAGAACCTCATGCGACGTTGCGACGGCATAATGGCGATGTGTGTAGATGTGGTATGTGTCGTGTGATGGGCGGGTGCGCCGTATGCGTAAAGTGTCAATCTGGTATGTTGCTCGAAGACTGCCGGTTACCAATGGCGGTAGAAGTATAGAGCCTTGTTTATGCGGATCGACAGGCGGTGCTGATAGTATCCGTGGTTCGATGGAGGTCCGTGGACTGCGATGGTCGCAGGAGCGCGGTAGCGGCGCGTGGTGATGATTAAAGGTATGGAAGACGTGTGCGATAATCCTGCAAGGGAAACGTGTACAGAAAAGAAGTACACAATAACTGCTATGTTCGCTGAAACAGTGCGGCGGTTTAGAGTGTGTTGGTGAGTTGGTGGACCCGGCGCTGGAAACAATGTGGAGGGATGGTGGCCCTGGCTTCTTGCCTTGGTTCGCGTCATGCCGCTTTCCGCACCTCTCCTCACTCCCTCCCGGTCAACCGTCCGCCTGCCAGCGCTGTGATTCGCGACTCTGGGCCACGGTGCCTGCCTAAATCCTCTTCTGTCCTAAGCTTCTTTGTTTGCATAGTTCCATGCGCTCCCAATGTCTGCCTAGACGGTGGACGGCACGCACTGTACGTAATTACGCGCACATGAGGGAGTTGTCTTGACCGGTGCGACACTCGATACAAACCCCATTCGAGACCTCCACAGTGAATTCGCAAACACGCAGGAGCACAGCGATGCAAGGCGAAGACGTTGTGCTGTGCCTCCGCTGACCACCCATCCCTGACCGACGACACTATCGAAATGCCGCCGACACCCCGACGGCGCGTGACCTCGCGTTGATGGAAAACGTTTCCAGCTTCAAACCAAGAACGTCGGATCGTCTACTCCATCAACACACGCCGTCGACTACTCCCCGCGCAAGTGGAGGTGCCGTCTTGTCCCTCTCTTGGTGTACTCGAAGCATAGAGTAAGCTCCCCGCACCATGCGTCTCACGACGACATGCAGCCTGTGACCAGGTTCTCCACAGACGGCTGCAGTCCTGTACTGGGTTTAGCGCCTCCCCATACCGCTTTCGTCTGTTCCGCTACATGTTCCAGATCGTGATGGCATATAAAGCTCACAACGTCTGATACTGTTCGGTTTAGTACCGTGGCACTTGAGGCGATCACGTTGTACACATCTCCTTGTACGATTCCAGTCTTGACCATTGCGTCATCCACCGTCCCACCATGTCTCCGCGCCTTTCGTCAACACCTATTTCCATTGTGCCTTCCGCGTCTGAAGTCAAAGCTGGAGAGCTCAATCAACGCAACCTCGAGATCGCTACCAGAGCGCTCTCTCGCGATGGCCTCGTGGTGTTGGAAGACATGATTGACCATGCAGTCTTGGACTGGTTGAACAAGAAGATGGTCCAGGATGCACTCGAATTGCAGGGAAGAAAGGACAGCCCCTTCAACTATAATAAGGGAAACATTCAACAAGATCCGCCCATGACCCAGGAGTGGTTCAGTGACGAAATCTACGCCAGTACGGGTCTATTGTAGCAAATACTGCCACGCTCTAAACACATACTAACCGTGGATTAGATCCCATCGTGACGCAAGTCACGTCAACCACGCTTGGTCCTAGGCCTTCATTGCGCTTCATTTCTGGCAACACCGCACTACCACCAACTGCGTCATCGCCACCAGCCTCGCAGCCGATCCACAATGATGCAGATTTTGATCACCCCTCGATCCCTTTCGCCCTCGTGGTAAACGTTCCTCTCGTGACCATGACGCCAGAGAACGGTTCCACAGAGGTCTGGCTCGGTACACACCAAGGTACCACTATTGCCGACCAAGAAGGCGAACACGGCGACCGTGCAAGCGGAAGGATCAAGCAGCAGTTGCTCGATGCTCGTCGCGAGGTTCGGCCACCCACTCAGCCGGTCGTGAAGAAGGGCAGCATGGTCGTTCGCGATCTGAGACTCTGGCACGGAGGGAAGCCCAACCTGAGCGAAGATCCGAGAGTGATGCTCGCGATGAGTAAGTTCCTTGCTGGTCTGAGGTTCTTTCAACTGACTTTTTTTCACAGTACACTTCGCGCCATGGTATCGAAATTCGATGGAAGTCGAACTGGCGGAAGAGCTTGCTGAACGCTTGTCGCCCGAGAAGACTGGTCTGCAGACCGCGGCCACGTACGTTTCGAGTGAGCAACTGCTCAAAAATTATCTGAATAGGCCATTTGGCAATGCGTACGATTTCGATCAGACGGAGAAGATTGACAATGTCTTTTGAGGTAAATTGAGCGCAGTTGCCGCCGATCGGCCTCTTTACCGCTATTTAGCAACCAACGTGTCGGCTTTTACGCTGTCGTCACTCAATTTCACTTGTCTCGTATCCCGCTCCGCCCACTTGGCACCGCCAATTTGCACTTGATATGCCCTGCAGCTTCGCAA